CCATGATGCTAATGTCATTTTACAATGAAATCTATTCAAAGCCGTATGTTAGTTGGTGGTAGTAGGAATTTTCTGGCAGTAAAGATGATTCACGCACTGCAAAAAGTATAGAGAATCCTAAGCTTTAAAGGGCAAATCTCTACAAAAGTTAAATTAGGAACAAATTCTACCCTTTAAAGGGCTTATAGAACGGTTCTTTATAAAAAAAGATTTCTCAAAGAAAGCAATTTCCATGTAACACAATTATGCTTATTTTTATTCCATTTTTTTGTCCCTTCAATTGCTCAAAGAGATGATGAGTTATATTCTTGCCATTTGTTTGGTAGGTGGACTATATCAATAGTCCTATCGAGCTGAAAAGTAAGTTTAAATTTTTTTAGAGAGTCGATATTGCAAACTAAGCATGCTAAGAGTAATCAATTGCCTTGTAGGTGCGATTCCTCCTAAATGAACGGTATAGTAAGACACCTTAGAAGAAAGAATGGTCTTTTAGAATTGCATGTCACCACGTCCCTCATATTCAATACATTTGGTCAAGAATGCTTATCTTCTTAATCATCTTTTAAACCAAACCCCTCCCCCTCCACCCCACCCCACAAGAGAAAGAAAAGGAAAAAAAAAAGTGAAAAATGAAAAAAAGGCTGAGCCCATGATAAGATTTTTCTGCATCAAGTACAGACCATAGCTAGGGTTTGGGGGGAAGCTTTTAGAGACTAAAGTGGACTGGTTATGAGACATTGTGGGGTTGAGAAGTGTCAATTATTATGGAAGCAATATTTTTGATGTATTCTCTTTTTTACGGATAGACACAAGTCACATGATAAGTTGGTATAATTTATTTTGTGTTCAAAAAAGGCAATGACAACTCCTTTCCATTCAAACTGTAATAATTTCCTACTCATTTGGGTACCACCCCCTAAGAGCAAATCTTATTTATCTTCAAGTGTCCGACCCCCGCCTCATTTGTTTGACTACCTTTTTGGCTCCGAGAACGTGTGTGTGTGTGTAAGAGAGAGAGAGAGAGAGAAACTTTCTTTTAAAGTATGTTTGGTAAGTTGTAGGCTAATAGGTATTAGAGTACTATCTTTAATAACGTTGTGTTTATATTTGATGGTTATTTGGAATTAAATGATCGAACATTTTAATTGTAGGGATATAAGCCTCATTCAAGATTTCGAATCGCTCAATGCAATTATCAATTTAGATAAATAACATTACTCTTTCTCTATCTAATAGTGACTTGTATTTATTATGCATATATATCGGGGACGTACTTTATACTGAACATTCACTAAACTCATTTATTGAAAATATATTTTTATGGCGATTAACGCAACGAGAAGTTGACAGGAGAGATCATATATAATCTTTTGTTGGTAAGAATTATAGTTACTAGTGTATTTATCTAAACAAGGACATTCTTGGATCTTATTAGCTTGTTTGAGGCATTTAAGGACGTGTGTGTCTTCATCACTAATGCCACTGATAATCAATACTGCCTACCCCAAACAGGTGCATGTACGTGACAATATCTTTTCGGTCGTCAATGTGTTCTTTCATGGTGGTCCCAAGCTTCGATAAAAAAGAAGAGTTGCGATACGTTGATACTTAACATAAAACTTTGTTAAATCTTAAATATTGAAAACAAAATAGAGTTTATTCTATACTTTTTTCAAATTTCTAACTTCGTTTCTCGCCTCCAACTTTTAAACCATTTAGGTTTGAAGATAATATGAGAACAATATTCCATGAAGGGATAAATTACATATTGATTAATTAAAATGAAATCAATAGTCAACATTTGAGGGTTTCGTCCACTCTTCTTGATAAATGCAACTATTAAGATAGAAATCAATCTTAATACCTTTGAATTTGAATTATTTTAGAGATAACGTCCTTCCTAATCAGTGATTACCACTCGTTACGTCTTGATAACTTTGTGTTAAATCTAACATATTGAAAACAAAACTTATTTTATTCTTATAATCCTTTTCAAATTCTTTACTTTCATTCTCTTTGTTGTCTACAACTTTTAAACCATTTACAATTCTACATCGATTAAAGATGAAATCAATTGTGAACATATTAGAATTTGGGCTGCATTTCTTAACCAGCTTAATATTTTTAAGATCGAACCCCAAATCTTAAACATAAGATCAAACAACGTCTAAAAGTTTTTCAACAAACAAATTTAGCTTGTAATAGTCGTTTAGAGCTTGTCTATTCAAACAATAGTTGAGGGCCATGGATAAGGTCGGGTGAGGCTTAACTAGGGAGGCTAGAGTTCAAGAAATGCATTGCAACAAATCATCCAATATCAGAAACTGGAGCTCACACGGTTGCACCTCGTCTGACCAAAAAGCTTGACACAATTTTGTTTGCTTAGCTTGGAAATAGAAATGTTGATACCAATCTAGTATAGAGTTCATTTAGGGATGACAAAATGGCTCATCGGCATGGGTCGTTCGTGGGCTGAGCCGGGGAAAGCCCGAGCTTAGCCGGCTCGTGGCTAGGGGTGGGCATATGTTGGGTTGGGTCGGTTTTTGCCTCATCCCAAACCCAACTCAACATGATTGGTTTGATCAAAAATTAACTCAACCCAACCCGTGTAAAGGTTGAAACCCAACCCATCAAGTATCGGTCGGGTCGGGTTGGGTTGGGTTGGTCGATTTTGGACGATTTGTCAACAAAAATTAAAGTTATCCAATTTTCTATTATACTAAATTCGAATAGATAAGATTAAATAGTAAGTAAATAAATAAATAAAATTATCTATTATCTTATTCAATCCTCATTAGCCGAATCCATAAAGAACAAATTGCATTAAACATAACATGAAAAACTTATACTACATTTTTTTGTGGGAAGAACAGTAAACTCCTCCTCTAAAACACACTCAGGTAATTACAGTTACATTATCTACTCATACTTTTTAGGTTTCTTTCACTTTTCTAGACATTTTATTTCTTTTATTTATTTATTTTTATTTTTTTAAAGTAGCGGGTTGAATTGAGTGGGTTTATTTGATTTTCTTGAGTTAATTCATAACCCGACCCTACCCAACCCGCATACACAACCAACCCACCCAATCAGTGTAAAAACAAACAAAAAAAAATCAATCCAACCCGATCGAGTTGGTTCGGTTTGAACGGGTTCGGTCGTGTTTTACCTACCCTACTCATCGCTTGGGACCACCGAGTCGAGGCTCGGACCTAGCCCCATTTTGGTGGTGGCAACCAGCTCGGGCCGTCTACCTATGCGCTGGGCTCGTGCTCAAGAGCTCGTGTTTTTTTTAAAAAAAAATTTTATTTTTAATTTTTAATTTTTTACTTTTTTCTTCAGATTTTTTAGGAGCCCACAAATTGAGCCTTTTTCAGCTCGTCGGGCGAACTCCCGGCTCGAGCCATCCATGGACCAAGTTTTGACGAACCGACAGTTACCCGATCCTTTTGCCACACATTCCATGGACCACGACCAAACTCCATGTTTATTTTACAAATATTTGATAATTTTTACACACTTTCACGTTAAAAAACAAATTCTGATAAAAACTCATCATTGCTAATGGACCAAAGAATGTTTGAAGGAAAGTCAACGCCGTGATGAGTTTGTTTCTAAATACAAGCGTACAATGATGTAAAGTACACTGTGATTATGTGATGGTTACTGTGTCCCTACACATCCATATTTGTGTGGAAGTCACTGTTTGTTAGGAATAGGGTTACTGAAAATGAATACCTGCTCGGCTGCTCCTTTAGATCAGATGTTAGTGTCACGTTTGGCTGCCAAAATTACTTTGAAGCAAATTTTTATTTTTACATATGCGCAAATTAATTATTAAATCTTAGCAACTAAAAATAGTTATGTTAACAAATAATATTAAGAGCTACCTTCCAAATGAATGTAGTTTCACTTGTTGAAATATGTTGCGACCATAAAGTAAAAGTACATAAAGCGAAAACACCACATTGTAATATATAAATAAGCGCCTTTTATCGTTTGGGGGTAAAAGATGAAATAGATTATCGACTAAAAAAAAAAAAAAATTCTATTTTAAGGATTATATCAAAAAATTTAAAGGCAAAATGATCTTTATTTTAAAGAATCAACTATTGACATTAGGTTTTGATATGCACTTTAATTTAACTTTTTAAAATAGAGAATGTGTTTGGCTTTCTAAATGACTTTCTACATTTAGAAAGCAAAGTTCACTCTCTATTTGTATTTTACGATGATTATATTTAATAAACTATAAGTTTCAATAATCTACTTTTTAAATTTTTCAAATTATATTTAAATATTTTGCCTAGTATGAAAAATAATAATTGATTGTTAAAAAAGTGAAATAAATAATTAAAAGTAAAGATATTGTTGCAACGTATAAAATTTTAGAAAGACGATTGTTGTACATTACCATTTACAGATCTTTTTGCAGATTAATGATGTGATGATAAGTTGAATTAAAACTATCAAAATCTCTTCACCACTTAGACGATTATGCTAATGTAATGTGGGTTAATGCAAAAAGAAATTGGAGGACTTTTTTCTATTTTTGATGAGATTTTGACTCGGTCAAATCTCGTCATGTCATCTGTTGGTAAATAAATTTGTGAGTCGTGATGAACATGTAGCACAATCTAGAATTTTATCACTTTTTTTTTTACTTTGTATTTGGGCTAAACTATTCCTAGTATGAACTTAAACTGGTAAAGAGAGTATTTATTTATTGTTATATTCCAGCTTTTAAATATTGGAGGTTCTTTTTTTTTTTTTAAGTATGTTCAATTGGTTGGTTTGTCCTTTGATTACGTGGAAACAAACAATTTAATTATTTAAATCTTAGGCATCAAATAAAGCAAAGGCAACATATGACATAATTAAAGAGAGCATATAATTCACTCAACAAAGATCAAAGAGGAACCATTACATCACGAGTGTGTCTCGAGATTCTAACCTTTTCTTTCATTAACATTTGTCTTCGCATAATGATTAAAAGTTTATTAGCATTAATTAATGAAGAATTCCATTTGTACAGAAGACTTTTCTCCTGTAAAATTTACCGACAGACACAATGACGGAATGTTTGGGTGGATATTATGGCATTTTTTAATTGATGCGAGACCCAGCAATGTTTGTGTGGACTTTTCTGTAAAAACATTTTATGTACACCAAGCATTGCTCTTAATTAACTTGCAAAAGTATGCATTAATTTTTGTTTTTATTTTGTCTATACCATCTTAATTTGTTCATTAAAATCATGTTAACCGTAAGGGTTAAACATCAAAGTATATATATTATTCAATATATATAATTTTACTTAGTTATATTAATGCAATATATTTATTTCATTATACCATATTATAATTATAGCAAGGCCTTTCAACCTTTAGTCATTATCGTATCTATGTTTAACTTATTTTTCCCGTTGTATTCTTATCTTCAATTTATGTTTTTTTTTTTTTTTTTGACATTGCCATCTTGAACATTTTGTAAATGATCATCCTCCCCAATAATAATTTCTCTCCAAAATTGCCACAAGTCGATGTAGAGGGAAAAACGAGTTTGCCCTTAACTTTTAAATAAACAAAAAAATACGGAAAAAAGGAAATGAAATAGAAAACTTTTCACGATCTTCCTAGCAATGTCAAGAAAGAAATACTTGAGCAATTAATCTAGCTGTACAAAATTTGTTGACAAAATGAGTGTGGTAAGATCTAGGTCCATTGATTTTCATTGATTTCAAAAATCGTTTTTGAAATGATTGACTTAAATATTGTTAACACATTTTGTAAACCAAATTTGTTAACTTATTTTGTACACATAGCATAATTCATACTTGAGGCAATTTAGCCTAATTTCGTCATGTAGATGACAAGCACAGGGAATGTTTGGATTATGACTGGCCATATTCAAAACCACAGCAAATCCCAATGCGCATGTCCTCTTTTTAACTCTCCACCCAAAGCAAATCCAAACACGCCCATGTAATCTTTATTTACACATGTATTGTGTAAGTAAATATGTGAGAAACTTCTGACCCCACAAAAAAAAAAAAAAATTCTGACAAGATTTTCCCTTGTAGTGCTTAACAGTCAGCATATCAACTGCTTTAAATTTTTTAATTCTGTGGTAAAGATAAAGAAGCCCATAACCAATCTCTAAATTGATGATTGATGGAATTTTCTTTTCTTTTCCCATTAACGTTTGAATTTATCTAACTGTAGTCAATTTAAAATTTTGCTTATATATATGTTGTTTTCTTTTAAATTTGGTGGACAAGGGCCAGACAAGATACTATGTTAGTCCTCACTTTTTCAAGAAAACCATCTGCATTTTCTTGGGATCTGACAGAAGCTGTGAGTCAGTAAATATTTGGTGTGCCAAGCATGAGGAATGGTTCTGTTTTCATGTGACATACTTGTTTGATAATTTAGAAGGAACTTTGGTGGATCCTATAAAACAACCTTATTTTTAGCCCATATTACTAGTTTTTGATCTTCTCTGATATTCAAATGGCAAGAGAAGAAGCTGTTTTATGCTTCGTGGCTTTCTTTGGCTTCTGGGCTTCTGTAAGGGCTTTGCTTACCCCAAACGGTGTCAACTATGAAGGTAAAATTCCATTTTCTTGATATAGTTTAAAAAATAGTCATAGCAGTAGTTTATCAAATAATACTGGGGTGCCCATGAATTTCAAATTTCATGGTTCTTACGACATAATTAGTTGTGAAGATTGGATACCACTAGAAAATATTAGTGAAGAGAAAGAAGCTAAGATCTTGTTGATTTTACCAACGAGTTCTTTCCAGTACTTGTGTCAAAACTCGATTGTATCATGTGTGGTACAAAGGTTGGATCAATCCTGCAATTGTGATGTATTTGGTACAGAGGATTAGATGGTACTAGACTAAGAAAAATAAGCTGAAATTTTGTTTGTTGTACTAATCAGCCGAGTACTACATACCAAACACACACTTGAAGCTTGGGATAGTATTGTATTTTTTGTAGTCCTTTAAGAAGTAATTTAACTTTAACTAAAATACAGTTTGTAAAATAAATCTTTGCAGTGCAAGCCTTGATGGATATAAAGTACTCTTTGAAAGACCCTCATGGAGTTCTGAATTGGGATGAAAATGCTGTTGATCCATGTAGCTGGAGCATGGTGGGTTGTTCTCGAGATAATCTAGTCATCACGCTGTAAGCTAATCACTTTCAGATCTGAGCACAATAAAGTCCATGAGAAATTTCACATTTCTGCATATTTTAGTCTGAAATAATTGAATTGCTGATATTGCAGAGCAATTCCAAGCCAAGGTCTGTCTGGCAAATTATCTCATAGTATTGGCAATTTGACGCACCTCCAGAGCGTGTGAGTAGTAACAACATTATGTACGAGAAATGGATAGACAGCGTTAAAAGAAGGAAAAAAAGCTAAAATTTTGATTGTTATACTATATAGCTCTGTCTAGTATTGTGTGCCTGAAAGACTAATTGCAGTACAAATTATCTGAAGATTTAATACTAAGTTGTTTTGTGGCAGGCTTTTGCAGGATAATAGTATATCTGGGCCAATCCCTCATGAGTTGGGAAGGCTCCAAAAACTTCAAACACTTGATCTTTCTGATAACTTGCTTAATGGAGAAATTCCCTCTTCTTTAGCTCAATTGAAGAGCCTCCAATACCTGTAAGCACCTATTTACACAATATTGTAGAGGAAAAGTATGTGGGAAGAAAAGATAAAGCACCCGCCACTTAGCTCCTCAATTTCGCGTCTTGCTACTCGACTGGGAGCACTTATGCTTGAATTCTAACCACGGGTTTTAAATTAATACAGGAGGTTGAATAACAACAGTCTCACTGGAGCTATTCCTTTGTCTCTGGGAAACTTGACTCAGCTGACATTTCTGTAATCCTCTTGATCTATTTGCTTACAATAAATGCATTTATTACAAGATTCTATTCTGAAGGTATTTGAGTTCTGTTTCATTTTTCAGAGACTTGTCATTCAATAATTTGATTGGGCCAGTACCAAGGCTTATTGCAAAAACATTCAAGTAAGTTTCTTGGAATTTTGCGGATTTCAATTTTGCTTTATTAGAAATATAAGTTGCTAAGTTTCTTGATTAATTTGTTTATTCCTTTTCTTTTTACCTCTCAGTGTTTTAGGAAATCCTTTGATATGTCCAACTGGGAAAGAGCCAGCCTGCCATGGAACTGCACCAATTCCTCTATCATTCACTTTGAATGATTCACAAAGTATGATTTTAAAATTCATCAAATCCTTGTTAATTTCTAATAGAGTTTGAAGTGCATCAGAAATTCCATGTTTCAATTTCTAATTTCTCATTGGAACTGCACCAATGCCTCTGTCTTTATCTATCTCTGGAAAATCCCCTCGCATTCTAACTAATTGTGTTTTCTCTTGAAGATCCGCAGCAATCAGGAAGGCCAAGTAGTCACAAAGTCGCATTGGCCTTTGGATCAAGCCTTGGCTGCATCTGCCTACTGATTATTGGGTTTGGTTTCCTTCTCTGGTGGAGACATAAACACAACCAGCAGATATTCTTCGACATTAATGGTAACTGCGACATAGCTATTTGCACATTAAAACCTTCTAACAAACATCCAATTTTATTTTATTTTTCCATGAACTGACAGTTCTTATAATTTTCAGAACATCATCATGAAGAAGTATGCCTAGGAAACTTGAGAAACTTCCAATTTAGAGAACTTCAGATTGCCACAAACAACTTCAGCAGTAAGAACATACTTGGAAAGGGTGGTTTTGGAAATGTCTACAAAGGTTATCTCCAAGATGGAACAGTTGTAGCAGTAAAACGGCTCAAAGATGGCAATAACATTGGGGGCGAGATCCAATTTCAAACAGAAATCGAGATGATCAGCCTAGCATTGCATCGAAACCTCCTCAAATTGTATGGTTTTTGCTTGACATCTACTGAAAAACTCTTGATTTATCCCTACATGTCCAATGGAAGTGTTGCCTCCCGTCTCAAAGGTAGCCATCCCATTTTCTCACATCGAGGGTGAACTAATATAGATCAGCGTGTTTCTGTTTTTTGTTTCATTCACTATTGCTCTTGCGAGTACAATTAGGGCTTAATCCCTAATAAGCATTGTGTCTATTTCTCATCTTTTGCAGCCACACCCCCATTGGACTGGGGTACGAGGAAACGTATTGCCGTAGGTGCAGCTAGGGGTTTACTGTACCTTCATGAACAATGTGACCCCAAGATCATTCACAGGGATGTAAAGGCTGCAAACATATTGCTTGATGATTACTATGAGGCCGTGGTTGGAGATTTTGGATTGGCAAAGCTTCTCGACCACAGGGATTCACACGTCACGACTGCTGTTAGGGGCACCGTAGGGCACATTGCTCCGGAGTATCTCTCCACAGGCCAGTCCTCGGAGAAAACAGATGTTTTCGGGTTTGGAATTCTTCTGCTAGAATTGATCACAGGTCAGAGGGCTCTAGAGTTCGGCAAGCAAGCAAACCAGAAAGGGGCTATGCTGGAGTGGGTAAGCAACTCATTCTTTTTCCTTTCCTAAAATACTAGGATAAAGATATATGTACAGGGCCCCGTATAATTCAAAATACTAATACAAAGTTCTGTAACAAACCGATTGTTACACGTATGTGTATGGCCACAGGTGAAGAAAATTCACCAAGAAAAGAAGCTTGATGTACTGGTTGACAAGGATCTTAAGAACAATTATGATCGAATAGAACTCGAGGAAATGGTGCAAGTTGCCCTCTTGTGTACTCAGTATATTCCAACCCATCGGCCGAAGATGTCTGAAGTAGTTCGAATGCTTGAAGGAGACGGGCTTGCAGAACGGTGGGAAGCTTCTCAAAGAACCGAGGCTACAAGATGCAGAGCCAATGAATTCTCCTCTTCGGAGAGATATTCTGACCTCACGGATGACTCTTCTCTGCTTGTTCAAGCAATGGAACTCTCCGGCCCCAGATGATTTGGTTTGTAATGTGTGGAGAAAAAATTAATTATGGGATTTGAAAAGTTGGTTATTGAACTCTCATAGCATGATATGTTTGTTATATAGTTTCAAGGTCTCGTTATTGAGCTGTAACTCTTGAGAGCTGTTAAAGCTCTTTCTTTGTGTCTTGAGATAAAAAGTGTATATACAATAGGTGTTAAATTTGTACCTGCGCCCAAAACATGTCTTGTTCCAAGAGTACTTCGAAAATCAGTTAACACAACTTTTCCGGAATGGCATAGCTTGACTCATGCAATGACTCAGAACAACAGACAGGAGTTTTACGGGATTCCACATGGTGCAGACTGATTGGCAGATGGCAAAAACAAAAGCTGCGAATCAGGTGCTGCGATGGGAATTATGTTTAAAAATCCCTGTACTCGAGGAATTTTTCAATGACTTACATTGAAACTGTAGATAGAAACAGAATTTTGGACAAAGTTAAGGTTTAGAATTTTCATGTAAAATTCGTTGTCTTAGATTTGAAAACAAAACCGTTAACTATTAACTCTATAAAACATACAATCATAGCGTTAACCTCACCTAATCTAATTCCCACCGAATAGTGCAAGTGTATTGGTGGGTTCTAACATTCAATGAGGTCCTAAGAGCGACTTGATTCAAATAACTTTTCTCTAAGTAGGAAAAATGGTAGCTTGATCGTGGCTACGTGCTCAAAGTGTCACAGAATTTCACATAATACTAGATTAACACATGAATTAAGCCACAAAACTAAAGCAGCACATGTCAATTTCCAAGAACCGAATTCATTTGCACTCTAGCTATTATTATAGGCACCTTGCTTATCAAACCGAATCGACACTCACAGATGTTAGAAACGCCATACAACTTGGCAACAAAAATGATGATGATCAAATGAGCGATAAGGAGACCAGAAAATCTTGGAGTGAAAAGATTGTCAAATTCAAACCAAATGATAAATACAAAATTGTTAGTTTGTCATTTGATAGTTGTTATCTATTTTTTTGGATAAACATCGGTTATAGAGAGCTGTTGACCTTATTTTATTATAAATAGGAATAAATGTGTGCTAGGTGCTCACGGTCCATGGCTATCAATCAATATTGTTATAATCAAGTCTTTTATTCATTTTTAAAGTTATTTTCATATCTTCCTCTTGGTATCAGATTCATTGTGAGCACTTGGCACACAAGAAGCCTTCTCTTTCACTATCACTTGCTATTCGTAAATATTGACAACTTCTTTACACTCATGTATATCTCATTCATTCTCGACTATCAAATACATCCCACCAAATTCAAACAAACAAAAACAGAAAATTTCATACCAAAATTAACGAGAGTTACAAGTTGATCATTATATTAATGAAGACCTTGTCCCCACCAAATACATGACTTCACATCAAATCCAAACAATACAAAAACAAAAAGAAGATTCACACCAAAATTAACAAATGAACTCGTTGCCCGGTGAAAGTTCTCTCATTCATGGTTGGATCATCACAATAGGCTTAGACACAACCATGCAGTATGGAAAGCACTTGAAATGCTTATATACACATGTGACATATCTTCGCAAGAATGAAGATAAAAATCATTGCTTAATTTTTCGAACTAAACTGTGCCTTCAGCCCCAACACAGTTTGCGAGAGGATGTTAGCAACGCCAAACTACTTGGCAACAGAAATGATGAGGATCAAAGGAGCGATAAGGAGACCAGAAAATCTTGGAGTGAAAAGATTGTTAAATTCAAACCAAAAGATAAATACAAAGTTGTTAATTTGTTATTTGATAGTTGCTATCTATTTTTTTTTTTTTTTGGGATAAGCATTCGTTATATAGAGTTGTTGAACTTATTTTATTATAAATAGGAATAATGTGTGCTAGGTGCTCATGGTCTATGGCCATCAATCAATATTGTTATAATCAAGTCTTTTATTCATTTTTAAAGTTCTTTTCATATATTCTTCCATAGAGACACTAAAGTTAAACTTATTTATTTATTTTTTTTCAAATTTTGTGGTTGTCAATTTTTTTTCTCAGATAATATGAATAATCAAAGTACTATCATATTAGATAACCACCCAAAAATTAAATTATCTTTTGTCATGAATGTAAAGCACGCAAAGAAAGAAACAATGAAGGCACAACAAAATGTTCTCGATTTTATGCCCTTAGATGGAGCTTTAGATTGTTGAGGAGCTTGTAAGAATCCCATAATATCTATCCCAAACTCGTGCAAGAGCCGAAAATGGGATTTTGAGAGAGAGAGATGAAAAAAAAATAGAAAAGAAAGGAGGAATTATATGAAGATCGACATGACAGAGAAAACGCACTTACCTATGGTTCTATGTGTGATGGGGGTTGACACCTTAGTGTACAGCCCTCTTACAATAGGGTGGTCCATGATTTTTTTATTGGACGTGACCCCCTTTATTGTGAGGGGGTACAACCTCGATGTACAAATAACAAAACTCTATATCAATTGTTCGCACTTTCAATTGACTCTGAAATATTCCTTTAACGGAGTTTCTTTGTTGTTCATAATCAACTGTCGGTGTACCAAAAATATTTTTTATGACAACCTGGCGGTGAAAAGTTGAAGATAGGAAATAAAATAAGAGTACCAAAATGATGTTGTGTGTTTTCCAACGATCCCTATTTATATAGGCATTTTCTATTCCATTACATTATATCAGGCACCTGAGCCACTTAAACCTTCTTAAACTATCGTGTTGTCTAGGTTTTGGTTTGTTACGACGCTAAACGTTGTTATAAAAAAGAGTAATGTTATATCATAATTGGTGCTAAAACATCACTCCATGTGGCAACAAATTGTAGATATAATAAAATGGATCTCGTAACACTATATTTAATTGGACTTGTTATTTAATACATTCTACATATCATTATTCTATTGAAAAAATGTGTCCATTCTTATTCCCATTGTGTTGATCATCTAAACGAGACATTCATTTTTTTCATTTGAAGTACCTTAAAAGAACATAATGTGTTTTATTTTTTATTTTTTTTTTCATATCGACCATTTATATATTAATTACTATTCAAAGAAATCTCGAAAGTCATAAAAACTGAGTGTCTGTAAAAGTAAAACATATCTTGTAAGCTATAAGCATTCACAATGACATTGTTTAACTCGAGTCTCACTCTATTCTATTTCTACGAGTGAATAATATTGCAAGTTGATTTAATTTCACATCTTCATAAATAAAAAAGATGGTCAAACCATTCCCAATTATGGTCCTTGAGATATGATAATTCATGTATCCTGCTATAATAAAAACGCCAGTTTTGGGATCCCTGTAGAAGCAACAGTAAAGCAATGAGATGCTACTGTTTATTTTTCCATATTTCACTCATCCGGTCCTCTACTTTTCGTAACTATGTTAAAAAAAAGGGGCAATTTTCACTCAATTTTAACTGCTTTGTTGTATATTTTGTTTTTGGAATTTGATTTTATATGTTGGAAATTGATTCCAAACATCCTACCTTTATTTAAAAAAAAAAAAAGTCTTTGGCGCGTGGAGACATTGTGTCCGTGTCTCCGCGCGGACGCGGAGACTCCGTGTCCGCGAGATGCGCGAACACGGCGAAGACAGGGACATGGTGTCTCTGCGCGCGCAGAGATTTTTTTTTCCTACTATCCTTACTATATATAAATCCCTTCCATTTTTTTTCTTTTCCCTTTTCTTTACTTTCCATTTTCCTTATACAAAATGACGCCATTTTATTTCCTTTTTTTTTTTTTTTTGTTTTGAAAATTTACTTTTTTAATCTATTATTTGGTTTTTCATTAGTTCATGATGAAGAGTTAGGGTTAGAATACGTTATTTTGTTCTCTATAATTTGTATTATTTTCATTTGAAGTTAAAGTTGAAGATTTAGGGTTTTTGTGTCCTTATGGCTTCATTTCTTATACTTATTTGTCTTCGTTCTCTCTGCGTATTCATTAATTTCTTGATTGGCTGAAAATTTTCGTGCTTATGTTTCAAGTTCATTTTATCAATAGAAACATACATACAACTCATTGTCTTGGTATTCATTTTCTATAGTTCAAAATTTTCATGTCATCTCATGATTACCGTCTTCAAAGTGCCTGAAAGTGCATCTTCGCACCTCCTATTCCATATTTAAGTTCAAAATTTACCCTTTAAACCTGTTACTTTTTCTATGAGGTCGAGAATTAGTCTTCGAAGGAAGTTGACACGGAAAAATTACTTGGTATATACGACAAAAGTGAAGAATCTTGAATACTTCATCCAAAGGTAAGAAAAATTTAAATTCAATTAGAAATTATTTTGGCGTGTATTTTTATGCATTTTTTCCCTTTTATTTTTTTCCTTTGTGCCTACAAGATTATAAGAATAAGGCATGTTTTTATGGTTTCTTTTGCGCTCAAGAATTCTGTCTTAGCTAATGGAGATTTATTATTATTATTATCTATTTTATTTAGTTCTTTTGATATTGTGTGCAGTGTAATCATAATGTCGAATGAGAGCAATTTACCACAACGCCTTTTTCAATTTATTGGATCATCATCTGGACATAATGTTAGACATATTTACAATATTAGGAAAAATGGACATATATGTCGCTTCGCAGTATGTTGGTTAGAGTATGTAAGACATAAAAATATCTATTAGGTGATGCATGTGTTTTTGAACTCCTCAACGAAGATGAAGAAATATCAATGATTAAAGTGTACAAGATCTATCCTTCAGATGGAAGCTTCATTCCTACGTAAATTGTGATATTATGCTCCTAGCTTTTTACTCATGCTTGCGTTTTTCCATTTTTTGCCTTTTTTTTTTCATAAACACAAATACATAAATATCTTTCGCAAATTTACTTTTGTGGACATGTATACAATCCCATTGATAAGTGTTTCACAAGTTCTATATTAGTTACACTCCATTTAAATATACCTATTTTCAACCAAATCTTTCTATATTAGTTACACTTAGAGACGGAGATATTGCGGACTTAAATAAATAAATAGTCCAAATCCAATCCAAAAGCAAATGACTCATTTATGAATCAATTACCTAAAAGCATACCTACAGGCCACAACCCATAAAATTTAATCCCGACTACAGACATCCTTCATTCTTCCTCAAATCTCTTCTCTGCTCGGTAGACGATTGAATTGAGCATTGAATTTCAGTACTGATTTGAATTATATTGTGAGTAGTGGGTATTGATGAGTTTAAAGTGATGAGGACAAAGAGAAACCAATTTCAAATGTCCAAGCCATCTCTACCATTTGTTATATAGATAGGTAGTTTATTTTTTGTCTTTTTGATGTCCATCTAACGTTCATGTTTTCAATTTGTATAGCGTTAGACACATAGATGGACATATTGTTTTTGTATCGATAAATTGATTGTCTTTTTGGTCAGTTAATCTAACTTGCCTATTTTGGTACTCAAAATCATCGTTTTCAATTTTCTTAATTAAAAATTTTTTTTGGGGGGCCCTCCATATTTTCGTCCCCGCAAGATTGAAATCCTGGCTACATTCCTGGTTACACTCCCTTTAAATATACCTAATTTCAATTTTCTTTTTTTTTTCTAAATAAATATATTCAATTGTGGATTTTCACATTTATCATATATTATTAAGTGAATATCTTCATTTGCAAATTATAACGTTTAACTCATGGATTTCATCACAATTTTGAGATGATAAATTTGATGGAATTTTTTATCCATGTTTTACCAACTAGCATTATCATTCTCACCTTATACATAAGTCACATAAATAACTAACTACAATATGCTAATCAATGAGTAATTAACTTTTAATTCAAAATTTTAAAACTTATACTTGAATTTTCTAAATTTTCTCCAAAAAACTCAATTTCTACGCTAATAAAGACAAAACAAATACAAATTTCGTGCAACGCACGTAACACCGACTAGTTATACAAAAAAACTCAAGATATATGTTACATCTATGAATTGAAAGACTTGAATGATCAACTTTACAATTAATTGGTAAAATCATTAGTTCTTCCAATTATCTATTTCAAAGTGTCTCTTAATTATAAAATCGAGAATAGATATCTATGAAATGGTCAATTATTACGTTTAGTGTCTTTTATTTATTAAGAAGAATTTTTGAAAAATGAAAAAAAAAATGATTCAATCAATTCATGAACCCAACAGAATAATTTGCAGTTCTTGCGTGATTATGATAATTTTCAAAGAATAAACCCTTTTTTGTAACAAAAATATAAATCCAAAAAATGAGGCCTACATTTCTCAGGCTAGGAAAAGCACATGAGAACCACAAGATTTATATACCCTCTTTCTCCTCCACTTCATCAATAATTATAAATCTTCAACGTCAAATTAGAGAAAAAAAAAAGATAAAAAAATATGCTTCTTCATAACCAAATTTCCATTCCTCTGCGTACGCCATTGATACCCATAAAACCCACACCCAAGCACCAACCAAAAAACGCCGCCGTTTTTGCCCAACAACGGAATCCACCACCGCTGGCAACGAACTTTTCAATCTCCGACGAATCACTGTCGTCACGAGGATTCGCTCTCCACCGTACGATCGACAAACTCAACCTCGACCACCTCAATACCGTCTTTGTCGCCGTCGGATTCCCGCGGCGGGACACCGGCAAGATCCGGTTGGCGCTGGAGCACACGGACGCGCTTCTGTGGGTCGAATACGAAAAGACGAAAAGGCCAGTGGCATTTGCTAGAGCGACAGGTGATGGAGTGTTTAATGCGATAATTTGGGATGTGGTTGTGGATCCAAGCTTCCAGGGGATTGGATTGGGGAAGGCTGTGATGGAGAGAATCATCACCGCCCTGTTAGAAAAGGGAATTACCAATATTGTTTTGTATTCTGAGCCCCGGGTTTTGGGGTTCTATAGGCCCATGGGTTTTGTTGCGGATCCGGATGGGATCCGGGGTATGGTGTATTATAAGAAGCAGAAAAAGAAAAAATAAATTATCATTTCTGTAATACCAAAATTGGTTTATCAATTGTAGCAGTTTACGCATTATCTAGTATCAATCTAACCAAGTGGATTCCATGGAAATTTTCCATTAATGGGATTATCAGAATTTAAAAAGAGTAATGATATTCATTTAAAATTACTACATTAGGGTAAAATTTTGACATTTTAACTGAACATAAAGTTGGTTAAATCCTTGGGTGTATATATATAAAGATCCCTATATTTCTTAGTTATAAAACCCGGCTCGGCCCCTTGACCTGGTTGGATAGATTAGTTTGATAAAAATGTACTTCACTCGGTCAAAATTGGACATTGACCGAGTTAACTGGCAATTTACCCGGTCCTATTGACCTGTTTGATTTAGTTTTAAAATCCTCTTACAAAATTTTTGGATTCAAGAGAATTGAACATTAGACTTTTGAAAAAAATAATGGGTTCCTCACCACTTAAACATAAATTTTAGTATTACTTATGTGCAATAATTTATATCTATTTAATGAATCATTTATATATTTTATAAAAATATTCTTTTAAAAAACTTTTGTCCAACATTTTACTTTATTTTATAGGTGTAAATAATTAATGAAAAATAAATTAAAAATTTTAATTTTGCCCCTAAAAAAAATTTATACTTCATATATTTTTTTTGTAAGTTTTTATGCAATGACCTGCCGATTGAACAATTGAGTTACCGGTAGAACCACTAACCCATTAACCCACTGCGTTGTCTGGGTTGGCGTTACCAAAGCCTATCCTACCGTGTTGGCGTGGCCTATCACACCAATATATTGGGTCGGCTTCATGCTAGAATTGGCCTGAGTGCAGAAGATGAATTGCTTAGGTAAATTTCATTGCAGTTATGAACTTTCAACATAATTTTAATTGGGTCGCTAAACTTTTATTATCTATCAATTGGGTCACTCAACTTCGGTTTAATTTCAAAATATCACCCCCTCTGTCGCGTATATTTTCACCTACAGTTTCCATGCAGATGTAAATTGTTTAGTTAGCAACTATAACATAATTAATCTTTCATGTAATTAATAGATTAATTTTTTTTTAAATACTTTTACCACATGATGTAGCGATAAGTTGACATGGTACACAACAAATTGCATGAAAGATCTGTTAAAGACCTACCCATTCGCGAGCTCGGCGAGCCGAGTCTTGCCCGGCTCTCCCTGCGAATCCCCGGGTCGGCTCGGCTCGTGCTCGTGCTCGTGCTCGTCTCGGAGCGAGCTTGAGCCGTTCATGAGCCGAGCTTTGAAGAGACGAGACGACGAGCTACTCGACCCTTTTGCCACCTCTAACTCCAGATGACATCTTCTATTAGCTAGCCAGGGATGTAGAATTCGTATGTCATTTGAAATTATTGCCACACTACAGCTCTTCAGCATGGTTTCGACGAGTAGCACAACAATCAGTTAATCTTTATCAATGTTTTAGAGATGAGGATTAAGACAAAGATAAGAGAACTAGTGTACAAGAAAAATATCACTGGCAAAATTATGTGCAAGATATTTGCGATTGTTGTGTGGCCAAATTGTGTCACTTTATGAAATCGTGTCTATACATAATATTGTCACCAAATATTTATTATCATTCTTATTTATTAGTGCATGCCAATTTACCATATCAAGTACTAAAATAAAAATAAAAAACGCGACATGACAAAAAACCAAAACATAGACGAGCAAATGGAAACACCTAAATCGTAGTGTTATCTATTTGATATCTGATAGGGTAAATAATAAAGGCAAGATACAAATTGCTGCCCTCACAAAAAGATAAAAAAACAGGGGATAGAATTATTGTTTTGCTTCTTATGGTAGTTTGTTGAATTATAAGACACTATCACCAGCATCTCCACCACCATTTGTCCCACACTGCTCGCACTACAGCCCAACATTGGCCACGGGGCCTCAGCAATTGAGGGCGACAAGCCACTCCGTGTATGTTTAATATTAAGATTTGAAGTTTCATTTTAAAATGTTAAACATTGTAAAGAGGAGTAATCCAAATTTTTATATACTGATTTCATATTTACCTATAAGTAATGCGAGATTTATTCCTCAACATGTTCATGTAAGATAGTGACTCGTTTGAGCACACCACTCTTGTAATCTATGTTCGTTTAAGCTTTTAGACAGATCGAATTGCTCATTCTAACTTGATGATTCTGATACCATATCAAGACATGATGTTCTATCTTAAAAGGTGAACTTTGTTAAGAAGGGTAGTTCAAACCCTTATATATGTTGATTAATATTAATCTTATTTGATATGAAATTTTATCATTCCTTCGTAAGATGGTAACTCATTTGAGGAGACCAATCTTTAAATCATATGTTCATTTTTTAAAATAATAATTAGATTAACTACTCATATGAGTTTAATTGATTTTGTAGGCATATGGTTTTATCTTAAAACTTCAACTTTGTTAAGAGGAATAATTCAAACATTATATATTGGTTAATAATTTGTACGATGTTACTAAAAGTTGATAAAAGTTAATAAGTTCTTATAAAATATGTGATTAAAATTGAAATTTAACTAGTTTTTTTGGCAAATAAATTCCTTTTTCATTTTTTTTTTATCAAACAAACTTACTTTTGTCAATTAAGATTTATTCCTTCACATTCAGCACACAAAATTAGATACAACTTATCATGGTATTAATAAACGAGGAATGATGTGTGTATAGAAAAAACATACAGAAAGCCTGTAGAATACACACAAATAGATGAGGCCCTTTTTTGGCAGTATTTAATTGACATGGGGCCAACTCCCATGTGAGTATCTATAAATTTTCCGTCAAAATTTTTTCTGTACAAACAGGAAAATTCTTAATAAATAAGGCCCTATTTGATATCCCTAATTTTCCATGGAACTAGGAAATCATTTTTCATTTTCCATCTTTTACATTGTTTGATATGAAGAATTTTCCTTGGAATTGGTTTTCCATTATATCCCCCACGTGACCCATTTTTCCTTGTTTTCCCACGACTTTGGCGGGAAAATAGTTTTCCAACTTTTTTTTGACAATTGAAACAAATTCTATCCCCAATTGTAACAAATTCTATCCATATAATTGATAATTTTCATGTAAAACAAAATCAAACGAATACCAAAAGATCCAAAATTTCAATATTTTTCACGTGAAAAATTATACCAATCAAACACAATTAATTGATAATACTCGGAAAAACAATTCTAGACAATTCAATTCCTTAGAATTCATTTTCTTTCCACAAAAATTCCATTCTTACAATCAAAAGGACCCTAAGATTTTTACCTGTTTTTCTTCTTAAATACTTTTTTCTTTGATGTGACTGATGCATGATTGATCCTGGTGGGGTAATTAATCTGAATGATCATTGGAAAGTTATGACTTACGATTGATTATTTAATTTATCCATTAGGGATCAAAGGGAATATTGTTTTGATCTCTCCACTAATAGTTGAATAATTGTGCCGCGAGATGATCTGAATTTTTCATATTTCATGCACTTAACCAATTCTTGGCTGGTATATACATGCATGTTTAATATATAAAATACCTGCAAATGATCTCATGCTTGATGCTACCACATGCTGCCCCAAGTGAATGAGAACACGATTAGTACCAGTTCATCTAAAAGTTCAAAGATTTAAGATATAAAAGTTTAAATTGTTTTTAATATAGCCTTCGTGAATATATCTAATTCACTTTCTTTACATCGCAGCGTAACCCACCATGTACAATTTTCCATACATACACTTTTACCACAACATAGGTGGGCTTAATACCATGTTGATCAACAATCTCATTTGAAAGGTTAAACTATTGTTTTATCAAAACAATAAATAAAACTATTAAAATAGACACTTTTATTCATTTAAACTGTTATCACCTCTTTCACTTGTAGGCTGGATTTATCTGATCATCACAAGCCTAACACGAATATTTTTTCTTAAGCAGGTAGGGTGAGAGTTGAACTAAAGATATTTGCCTGCTGTGACGAACCAGATCGTCTAAAAACTTAAGTTGTTATTCAATTTACTAACACAAAGAAAGGAACTAAGAAAGTAAAAAGATAACCTTCTCTCTATAAAACAGCTTAGTGGAGAATATTTGTGGCAGTAGTGATGGACTGGTTAGAAAATTCAGCCATGAGATGAGCTGTGTTGCAAGGTATATCTTCAAGAAAATCTCTAAAACTAGCGTACGAATCGCCAATTTGGAGATCAATCAGCATCTGGCGAAGATCAGAAGCTTCTTCCTTGAGCCGTTCATTCTCTTGAACAACCCTATCCCGACTCTCCGATGCACGATTCAACTTCTCCATGAGAGTCTGATTCTCGGCTCTAAGATGCAAAACCTGCGCCCCTAGCTCATCAAGCTGCCTTTGCTTCCTCATCCTCGATCTTCGAGCAGATTCCCTGTTAGATATCATTCTTCGTTGCTTTCTCTCGTCAATTATACTGATCTGATTATCATCAGCTTCATCAGATGTTGAATTACTGCTAATAAATGAGGAGGTTGGTTTGAACTCGTGCACTGGAGCAGATATATGACAATTTTGTAAATTTGGTAAGAATCTGCTGAACTGAAATGCCGGCGAGTTACCGAAATCAGCAGGGAAAAGTAAGGGGTTTTGAAGAGCAAATAAATTATTCATTTCTGAGGTTTCAGATGGAATCATGCAGGTTGATTATATTGAGGGCTTCTTTTGCAGATAGAGTTGAGCTTTGTTGGAAGAGAGGATCCTTGCATGAGGAACTAGCCAGAATGGGTTTTTTATAAAGAAAAAATTGCTTATTTTGAAATCCAGTCACTCTCAAAAAATAAGTAACTTACTTATATTTCAATTACAATCAACAAATTAAAATTCCTTGTTTTAAAACATAATTATATAACAATCAAACTTCTTATACTTAAGCCAAATAAGCTCATAATAAATCAAAATTATATATAAACATTATTAAAATAAATAAGATTACCTACTTTACCATTGTAGTTTAAAGTTTAAATTTCACATAAAGTGATTTAAAATAAATATAGATGGCCATCATTTATTTATTGAAATTAGCTATACATACAAGTTAGGTCTTTAATTTAAAATAGGAGTACGACATGTACGTGAAAGAGCTAGCACGTTGCAGATAAAATTAAATAAATAAGTTTGTTTGTTCGTTTGTTTCCTTTTCGTTAATAATTTAAATTTTCAAACGAAGAGGTTAATAGTACTATAGACATAACTTCTCATTAACATTGAACCATGTACATTAAAATCAGATTTTTAGCAGATTTTGAAAAAGTTGACGAAATGCATGAATTTTGTGCATATATATTAATGGATAATCCTCCAACATATAGTGCTTAAAAGTGGATCCGAAGTTAGTGATGATGGGATGCAATTATAAATTGTATTAATTGTTATGCTTGATGACGAAATCTAGGTCATTAATACGTAAAGCTAACCATTATTAATTTAATTAAGAAATAATAAGTATTAATTTTCTATTATTTTCATAATTTGATGACTCAAAGGGCACTTAGCTTTTGGTTTAGAAGGGACCATCAAAATGTTATTATATGTATTGTTTACTTCATAATGCCTATAAATTCTGCCGTACCCTAATAGGACAGTGGCGTGCTAATTTTGGATTTTTTTCGAGATACGGAAGAAGTCGAATACTTAAATATTCATTAGTGCATTGCTAATCAATACTACTCTATGTTATACTATTGAAGAATATTAAGTAAGAAAATAAGTTAAAACTTTAATCACAGCAAAAATTCGAGTAGTATATCTACCCAAAAATTTTAATTTGAGACTTTAGAATTGTATTGTTGAAGATAACATCTAAGTCATGTAAATTTGGTTCATTCTTAATAATGATTAGAAATGTTTATTTAAGCTTAAGCCCTGTTTGGTACAGATTAAAATCAAATTTTAATCTAAGTCAAAGTTAAACAATCAATATTAATTACATCTTTTATGGGTTCCACAACTTTTCAACCATACATTTTAAAAATTTATATAACAATTTACTAAAAATCTGAGTTTAATCCTCACCAAACACCCGCTTAATATGTGAATTTGAAGTCTCGACAATAAACAAGCAAGTCAATATGTTATCACATAGTTACCATTTTAAGAAAGATTGATGGCCTTTTAGTTATTCTAATGATAATGGCTTGGCCATTTCGGATAGCCAGAGGGCCTTAATAGGATGTGACCTTTTTATCCTCCCACTATGCTTTTGCCAAACATTAATTGACAGTTTTTAAAATAGAAATTTCACATATGCTTCCTCCTATTGTATGGATATTTATTAATCTTATAAAAGTAAAACTTTAAAAGAGAACAAAATATTTTTCTATAATTATATATTTAATATCTTGGTTACTTACTTTTGTCTTCTATAATACACATAACTAAGGATCATATCATATCAAAATTATTGGCAAATCCTAGCAGTAGCAACTTTAAATTTGCAGAGTTTTTCTTGCTGTATTAGTTGATTAATTAATTAACGGATGAGTTTCATATTAATCTACCATCCACCGCTAGTTCATTAAAAGGTCAACCTTATTAAGAGGAGTAACCTAATCCTTTATAAGTTGGTTTATATTTACTTATTCGATGTGAAATTCTATTCCTTAACATCCCCCTAGTTCGACACTCGGGTTAATCTGGATGTAGTCACAACTTATACACACTTGGGTCGGATATTCGGGGGTTCTCCTCCCAATGGACTTCTGCCTTCCAACATTTAAATGTTGCATTTCAGCTGTCGCAGAAATTCGAACCTTCCAAAATATGGTGGAATGCATTGAAGATATAAGTATCTATTGGGAATAAATTCTTTAATTCATTTAAAGTTTGAAATTTAAATGAGTAGACATCACTTCAAGCGAATAAATATTACACCACTTGACTCAATTTTTACCTTTAAAAAATAGTAAATTGGTCCTTAGACTTCGATTATATATAATTGTACAATCAGTTTGCAATTTAAATCTTCGCTAGATTTTCATATGATCCTCGTAAAAACACTTCTTATTTCAGTAAGTCCCCTCAAGTACACATTATTTTTAACCAAATACTTAACATGTGCACAATTTTCTTATTAAGAGATAGTGACATGCATAACTTGAACTCTTGAATCAATACATTTACTTACCAGTTGCCATTATAACATACTCAACTTTCTCATCTAAAAGGCTATGATTTCAAGTTTGTTGCGTTAATTATGTCCAAAATTTCTGGTACCAATTGGTGGGAATTCAAGAATCACGTATTGATCGATATCACTTGATATGAAACCAACTATCAGATTGAGATGTTAAAGTTATATGACACAATAATGAAGTATTTGATCACAAGCAAAAAAAATAATAATAATAAAAAATACAAGAAAATATGAGAAATGAATTAAGAGATTTTATTGCATCACAAATAATGAAAATGGAGAAATATCACAATGATCCTAAAAGCTAGTAATCACTTTTTTTACACTATTCTCACACCATAAAATTGTATAAAAGAGCATAATATTTATAGGGAACATGTAGGGGACATCTAAACCCTTCTAATAGAGTTGTTGATGAAGTAAGATATCAAAACAATTGATTCCAAAACGTAAAATGAGAGAATAACGCAAAAATTCTTGCACGGTAGCGGGAGCCCCGGGGCAGGGTCGACGCTGCGACGCCCCGAGCAAAACTGGAGCGTCGGGCGTTCTGCCCCTCTTCTTCTTTTTTTCCTCTCTTCAAATTATTTTTTTCATTTCGAACTCTTTTTCAAGTTCAATACCAATTTCCAACTCTCAATAGGCTTTCAAACTAAAATTTTAACTTGACATAGGACTCCAATAGCATTTCAAACTGAATTCTTTTTGACATGCACTTCAACAAGGAACTCGAGTTACACCCAAATTCTAACAATCTCTATTTTGACATGAATTCCACTGCAACGAATAAAACTCCAAAATTTCTCCACCTGGAGAAGAAAATCCGTCTGTAAGGAATGAACTGACTCTTCAACAATAACCAAATCTGATTTTTCCAAGCAAATACAAAATACTCAATCTCTTCCAATGAATCTGAGCACCACTTTACAGAATTACCTTAAATTCAAAAAAAAAAATCATGATGATTTTAAAATTTACCAAATTGGGTTGTAACACACCTCAAAGCAGAATCAAATCCGAATGCTTTTAAAGAAAGCCCATTGTAGATTGTACACATTCTATTACCCTGAAAGTATGCTCAACAAAATCAGCATCCACATACATTTTTCCACTGGGTACGACCTTAACAATTGAATATAATGGTACCGCAAGTGATTGTGGCAAAGTGACATTATCCATATCTCCTAAATTCCACTGAGTTATATTATTCAAATCCGATAGGTATTGTACCAAACTAAATGTCCATCACGGTACTGAACTTGTGCTGAATGACTATTTAAGATTCTGCACGAACCTTCAAGATCTATAACTGAGACATTTTATGTCCCTCCAATAAAACTTGAGCACCCTTACAAACTTTTAAAACTTTATCTCCACCAAAGAACTCATAGCCCTTTGAATCAAGGATAGACAACGAGATGAAATTATTCTTCAATTTAGAACATGTCGAACCTTCTAATTGTCACATCAAATAGCTTCAATCTGACCATATCAATTCCAGCAACCCGACAAGGTGCATCGTTTCCCATAACCACGACACCTTTGGTAATAGTTTCATATGTAGTAAACAAGTCCTTATTAGGACACATATGAAAACACGTACGCTAAATCCAGAATCCAATCATCATTTGGTTTAGACTCGATATCAGAAATAGCCAAGAGATCTCCCTCACTTCCAATGTTCTCTGCGAGGTGTGCTTCACCTGAAGTCTCTAATTGCTTCCCACATTGACTTGCAACCAACATTTCTTTATTCTGCAATTTGTAGCAATCCTTCTTAATGTGCCCTCTTCTTGCAGAAGTTACAAATCTGATTACTGAACTTAGATTTCGATCTGCCCATTCCAGAACCGTCATGAACAACAAGACCTTCTCCATCTTTAGCCTCGACACCAGATGTTTCATCTTCTCTTTTGAAAACAAAGCATTACACACCTCATCTATGGTGAGAGTATCACGACTATACAAAAACATGTCTTTAAATGAAGAAAACGTAGCGGCCAACGAACATAATAGGATCGAGACCAAATCTTCTTCATCACATTTTACTTTCAAAGTTCTTAAATCAGCGACGATCTTTTTAAATACAGACAAGTGATCTTCCAATGATCCTCCTTCTACCATTCGATGAGAGCATAAACGCTGTTTGAGATGTAACTTGCTTGTTAAACTTTTAATCATGCACAATTGCTCCAACTTCTACCATAAAGCAGCTGTTGTACCCTCCTTCAAAACGTCTTGAAAATGGTATTCGATAGAGGAAGATGAATGTGAGAAACTGTCTTCTTATACTTCCGTAATTTCTCCTCTACGGTCAAAGTTGCTGATATCTTGTCAATTCCCACAACGCATCATCCAAATCCCATTGTGCGAGTACTGCATGCATCTTAACCTGCCATAGTGAAAATCTAGCTACCCAAAAGCGGAATATCATACTTCATGAAAGCATCACGAACAAAAATCTCGAACAAATCAAACC